CTGTCGATGGGATTTGAACACCCAACCTACCACTTGGAGGGTTGACAACCTGACCACTTCACTAGGTCACCACACCCTATATATATAGTTAGTTGTACTTTCATTAATAGACTATTGTATATAAAAAATATATAATTAATATATTACTTAATAAAGATATACAGACAAGATTGCTGCTTCAAATGAAAAAAATAAAAAATAAAAAATAAAAATGAAATAATGTTTTAATTCATCTACATAATTATAGTAAGTTGAAGATGTTGAAGACACTTCAAAAACAAAACTATAATATCTTTATAGAGAAGTACAAAGATGTTCTTGTATTTTGTTAAGCTTTGTTAAAAGTGCAATAAATAAAAGAACAATTTCATGTAACTAAACTATGAAGTTAGTAGTCGAGCTGTTTAAAAAATGTATATAATTGATTCTTTCTTAAGAATTAGTAGAACTAATTACTCTTTCAGAATCAATAGACCTTAAGTAGTAAATAAGAAAATAAATGTAAAGATAAAAGTAAAATAAAAAAAAAGGTAAATGATCATATATGTATATATGCTTATAAAAATTTAGGCATGCAAAGAACTCATAAATGATCTTTTATGCATGATGATTACAATGATTTGATGCAATGTAACATTAACAATGTATAATAGATTTAAGTGAATTTTTTTAAACAAACAAGAATTGGATCTTATTTTTGATTATAGAGTTCTACAACTTTAATGAAACCTTATATATATTTTTTTTCACTTTATTGTGATTGGATCTCAGTTTTTTTAAAAAAGTATTCTAAGCTGTATAAATAATATAAAATTAAATTAAATTTATTAGTCAATCAGGCAAACTTCTGCCTATAAGCAGTATTTAACATAATGATAATATAGATTAGGTAAAATTGCCATCTAAAAAAGTTTCAAAAATTATGTAATATTGTTAAATAATCATGATTAGAATCATTAAATATTAACATAATTGTATATAGTAAGTATTTTTTTCTTCAATACTTTAAATAAAGAGAATTTCTATTTTCATCCAGGTTATAGTTACCTATCTAGTAAAAATTCTGGTCACATGATTAATGCTATAACCTGGCTAATCATGTCTATCATCAGTCAGATAACAAATTTAATGATTCAGTACTAATATGTTCTATAAAATTAGCAAACCAGATACATTATATTATACCTAGGCATATGTAGTAATTGGTGCAGTTTTGTTTGTTATATATAACAAATTTCTTTTATTTACCAATCATATAATATAGATGAGTTTATTATCAGAAGTCTTAGATTGTCTTTTTACAAAAATTATATACTTATAATTTTTTATTAAGAATAAAAATTATAATAACTTAGGTTTAATAGTAAAATTTTACAAACATTTTTAATTAAGATGTAAAATATAGTTTTTAATTAAAATTTTAAATAATTTTGCTTTTTGTATAAAGAAGCTCAATTGTTTGATTTTAATTTTATTGGTTAAAAATTATAGAAGAGTATACTTTTTATAAGTGTTAATTTAATGTAAGATCAAAAAATTCAGATAAATAATTGTGAACAGATTATAATCAACAAAAAGTATATTATATTGTACAAATTATGTAATGACTAAAATAATATAAAAAAATAAAAAACCAAGATTAGCTTTTTATCATCTTTTCTATTTCAGTGATATTTGTTATTACTTTAAACATTAATAGTACAAAGTATTGATCAAAATTTACATAGAACATAGTATTAATTCAAATTTATAGTAGCATATAATATTTGATTCAAATTTACAATAGTATGCATTATTGATCCAAACACTATTATTGTTTTTATTTTATAGATATATTATATTGTTACTTGTGTTTTAAGCTATATAACAATAAAGAAACAGTTATTACACTTTAAAATAAACAACTTTTCTTTTAAAATGAATTCTTATAACAATGAACTTAACACTAATATGGGTATCAAACTTAATACTGATATGGATATCGAACTTGATACTAATATGAGCATCAAACTTGACACTAATGTGAGCATCAAACTTGACACTAATATGAGTATCAGACTTGATACTAATCTTGATACCAATCATGAAGAAAATTTCATATTAATATTAATAAAGTAATACAAGAACCATTTTTAGATAATAATAATTCACTATCAATAATAGTTAGACAGATGTTCGCTAATTAAAATAATGTTGAATGACATATTAATGCCTATGCTTTAAAACAAAAGATTGCAACAAGACTTGATCATACAGAGAAGAATTTAGATATTACTACTAGAGCAAAAATTGTTTGCCATCATGCTAGTATTGCAAATAGCAAAAGTACTGGGTTATAGAATATTAAGAGTATTGCAATTGGCTGTTTATGCAAAATAATTATCCATTAGTTAAAAAAAAAAGACAATATCATGTAAGAGATATTAATCTTGAATATAATCATTCTATAGATACTGCAATAGCTATTTTTGACCCTATTTATTGCAAATTAAATAATAGTAAACATGTTTATATATGAATGCTTTATAAAAGTAGAATGCCAATACAACAATTATAAGAATACTAAATAAGGAGTATGGTAGATATGTTCATAATAAAGATGTATATAATTATTTAAACCATAAGTCCCATAATCATATTAAAGGTTTATCACAAATTGCAGAACTTTTGAGCATTTACATAATAAAAATAGCTATTTGATTACTTATTTAATCAACAACAACAAGCTTCATTGTCTATTCTTTGCTACTCAATCTGCACTTACAACATTTAAGTTTTACCCTAAGGTTGTGTTAATAGATTCTATATACAAAACTAATCAGTTTGAAATGCCACTTTTTCTAATTAGTGGTGTCAATTCAATAGGCATTATATTTCTTATTGCAAATGGACTTCTTGCTAATAAGATTGCAGTAACTTTTTGTTGAATACTCTATTAGTTAAAACAGCAACTGATGATGCAGTCATTAATAAAATTAAAACAATTTTAACTAACAAAAAACTTGCTCTACTTTCTGCAATTTAGACAAAAATGCCTCATATCAAATATCAACTTTGCATCTGGTATATGAAACAAAATATAGTCAAGAATCTGAGTAGCAAACTTAAGAATAATTTGTAGCATTTAGTAAAGATTTTAAAATAATAATGACAGAGACTGTTAAAGATCATTTTATTACTAGTTGGGATTGTTTGTTAGTTAAGTATCCTGAGACTTGCAATTATATAAAACAATAGAAATCTGTTGCTCATATATGAGCATACTGTTATATTAACAAAAATACTAACTATAATATAAGAACAACACAATGTTCAAAGGCAAGTTATGCATATTTAAAATGTTTACTCAACTATACTGCACCTTTATCTGAATTACTTAATATATTGAAAAAGCTATTTTATCATCAACTTCAACATTCTCAATATTTGCTTTTTTTTTTTTTTTTGGTATTAAGATGAGGCCTTGCTCATATCTTTATTGGTAGTTTTTAAAGTTAGTAACTTTATAGAGTTACTATATATAGAAATATTTCTATATATAAATGCTATAGCTAAGGCCAACACTTGCAGTTAGGGCTAACTGTTAAACTGCTAACTATATATAACTTAAGTACAAATAAGAAGAAAACTACATTTAAGAATAAAGCTCAGATATATTTATTTGCGACCTAAACCTACTAGAGTGGTCAAGACTCACCTAGGTTTGAATAGTTAAAATATAATTAAATGAAATATTGTATTTGATCCAAAAAATAGTCCATATATTGATTTTTCTAATAGCATAACCAAGCAGTAGGCACGTGTTGGAGTTTGAGTGTACTTGGTCTGGTAATCCATATATACATGAGTATATATATGTCTGGCAGTTGTATATAGTTTGTTTATTATAATTAGTTTGAGTTAAGTGTTTGAAAAAGGGAGGTTTAAGACCTTGTTGTTTTTTCCAATTTGAAAAGTTTAATTTTTTTTTTTTTCAGTACATGTAATATTACACTTCGCATAGATGCCCTGAGCTTCCAATGTTAGGTGGGGCCCGACT